AGGGAGACCCGTCAGACTGTGGCAACTACCACAGGATATCGCTGCTGTCTGTAGCTGGCAAGATTAGCGCTCGAGTCCTCCGAAACAGACTTCTCCCTAAGGCGGAATACATCCTCCCAGAATCTCAATGTGGCTTTAAACCATCACGTGGCACCACTGACATGATATTTGCTGCCCGCCAAATACAGAAAAAGTGCAGAGAATAGCGTCGTGTCCTGTACATGACCTTCATCGACCTCACCAAGGCCTTCGAATCGGTCAACAGAAAAGCTCTCTGGCGCACCCTCAGACATTTTGGCTGCCCACCAAAATTCATTGCCATTGTAAGGTAACTCCACGATGGCATGAACGGCAGTGTCCTGCACAATGGCACCCAGTTTGAGTTATTTCCCATCCAAACGGGGGTAAAACAAGGATGTGTACTGGCACCAGCTCTTTTTTCCATTTTCTTAGCTGCCTTCCTTACTCGTGTCAGTGCCAATTTAGTCGGCGGGGTGGACATCGAGTACCAGATGAAGGATCTTTTCAGCATAAGAAGACTCCAGACAGGAACAAAGGTGTCGGCAGTTTCTATTACTCAACTTAAGTATGCAGACGCAGATGCGTATGCACACGTCGGACTTGAGATGAATGTATGTAAGACTCAACATTCTCTTTCAGCCTGCCCCTGATTCAGCCACACCTCGACCATCCATCCAGCTTAACGGTACTACCCTCTCTAATGTTACCAACTTTCAGTATCTCGGCTCCCACCTGTCCACCACTACGGACATCGATGAAGAGATTCAACATCGGATCACATGTGCATCTCATGCTTTTGGCAGACTCCATACCCGTGTTTTCAGCTGTAGGGAGCTGAAATTATCTACAAAGTTGCACTTATATCGAGTAGTAGTCCTCAAGGCACTTGAAAACTTTCACAACGTAGTCTGCGTTCCATCCTCCGAGTTCGCTGGGAAGACAAGAGAACAAATGCCAGTATTCTCGCTGACACTAACTGTAGGAGCATTATCCATGAACAACTACTTTGGACTGGCCAAGTGGCCATGTTACCTGCATGGACGACAGTAGCTTGCCAAAGCAGCTATTTTACATTTACATAACGAATTGTAAACGTAACGTTGGCAGGCAACTGAATAGGTATAAGGATAGTCTTAAGACAAACCTGAAAAGTGCCAAATCGACCCCCGCACCTGGGAGATGATTACTCACATCGTAACGCTTGGCGAAGCATTGCACGAGAAGATTTCAATACTTTCGAATTAGCTCGACTGCAAACCGAGGCAGACAAGCGCCAACGCCGGAAAGTCCCTTCTGCACTAGAGGGAGCCATCCACATGTGCAACTTCTGTGATCGACCCTGCCGGTCTCGTATCGGCCTCTTCAGTCACCTCAAAACTCACCAACCTGGATGACATCCTTAATAACTCATATCATTGTATCATAGCTGGATGATCGTCATACTCGATTCCGAGTGACAGCAAAGTAGTAGTAGTAGTGTGTGTGTGTGTGTGTCAAAGACAAAGATTATTGGTATATCTATAACTAAAACACTTCAATACTATAAATTTTGCATCATTTAAATCTCTATCATATTAATATTTCCACGAATTCATTGTAAATAGTTTTGTAAATAATAATAAATTATATCGACAGCTCGTAATTATGTCAGTGTAGTCCAGTCAGTGTATAGGTTCCCGTGGGTGTATTATTTTATCGGATTATTTTTATGACAGGAATCATTATAGACCTCTTGTGGTGAAAGTGAGGTGAAAAATTTTGTTTTCAATCCCGTAGTTTGGCAGCCATCTTTGAAAGTATCAGCAAGAATGATACAACGTAAAAATTAACTATCCCATTAATATTAGTTCAGTTGACCTGATATTTTTATTAATTTATATCTCGGCAAAACTAACTAAGACATTTCATTGGGAGGAGTTTTTTGTCGCAAATATTTTTGGGTAATTCTAATTTTCCTCTTTCGGGTAATATTTGTAATTTATCATTATATGGTAAATATTAACGATTTGACACAAAGTGATAATTTATGGGCAGGGAGAAGGTACAGTAATAAATGTTTATTCATGGAGGAATGGTAAATACCTTGATGAATTCCTCAACAGTTGTAAACACGGTCTGTCAGTATCAACTAGCTACGACTTTTGTTCATCTGTGACTGGCAGATGTTGACATGGACTAAAGATGAAAAGATCCACATGTCTAGAATATATTTATCGTGCAGTGACAAGAGTTAGAGTAAACTACTGTACTTACAAATCAGGTGATGGAAATGACTATGACCGACATTTTCCGAAATAGCGGCCAAACGACGGGATAAGAAAATCCTCCTAAACTCAAATTCATTATAAGGTCTATATAATGAATTTCAGTTATACAAGAATCCACTTAACAAAACTCACGAGTCACTATATTCTGACTGGTCTTGTATGTGTTGTTTCTCTTTGTGATATTATTAGAAAGTCACTCATTACACGTATAAAATATTATGTTTTTTTTGTAAATAATATTAAAACTTAAAGTACAGGAATGATCACGACCCCGCGGAAAAGAGGAATTTTATGTTAAGATAGAAGATGCTGTGTCACGGTCTTTTCAAGTGGGCAATAGACGCTGTCTTATTAAGACAGCGTCTATTGCCCACTTGTCTTAGTCTACTTCATGATGAAAGACGATCTAAGCCTCAGGCTCTCACGTCCAATAAGTGTAACCCGGGTGACGATATGACACCTTGACGCTATCATTTGATAAACTGAAAAGTACGGTAGATATCTTTAACGGGTTGGCGGAGCTGTAAAGTTCATCAGATTACCAACTACCCACTAGCCATCAGTTACGTTCACATCACCAATGTTTTCTAAGCCATTTATTTACTGAAAGATGTGGTGAAAAAGCTGACAGGTTTTCTTAATGATATATTCCCACCCCTAGAGGACACTAACCCACTAAGGAGTTTAGGGGGGGGGGGAGTTCCTCGATGCGATAAGTGACAGAAGAGTGAAGTTGGCGTTAGTTAAGAACAACACAACCGTGGGTTTAGCAGAGAGGAAATACACTGATGTATTTTTTATTTTAATTTATTGATATACACGAATAACAACTTGTGTATTCTACAAATGAAAAAGACAACATCGTCACCCGTCGTTTAGGGTAACTTACTGCCACCCTAAACGTTGTCATCATTAGTGCTCCCTGATGACTCTCTGTTAATTTGTTAGATGGTCTGTGTTCATGGGACTTTTTCTAAATAGGAAATTTATGGAGATAGATGATCACAGAAGGCATAACTTTAGGGAAATGTACAAAAAGATTAAACAAGGGAAGTAGAAGAAAAATATATAAATGTAGTGGGACTATTAAAATCAAAGACAAGAAGATCCTGTCTGAAGCAGAAATAAAACAAAGATGGGGAGAGTAGAGGTAAGAAACAAGAAGGAAATGAGGATCAAACTACCAATTCTGGAAACAGAAGTTGAGGCAGCTGTGAGCAGTATAAAGTGATAAAGTTTGTGGTGTTGATCAGCTTCCAGTAGGACTAAAAAAAAAAAATGCGCGCAAGAATGGGATAAAATGTTTTACTAAAATATGTAATTTATACGTCAAAGGAAACCTTCCCAGTGATTTCAAAAATCAATATTTGTATTATTACCTAAAAAGTCAGTAGCCTTAGAGTGCATCCAGCTTAGAACAATAAGCTTAAGTCATGCCTGCAAAGTTTTATTAAACATAATTTTAATTAGAATAAAATTTACAATAGAAAGTGAGTTATGAAAAAGGATTTGGAAAGGGAAAAAACTTGAGAAGCTATGTTTGACTTGGGAATTTTGAGTGAAAGGGTTTTTAGTGGTCCAAAGAAATTTTAATATCGGCATTGTTGATTTCAAAAAAGCTTTTGATGTGATAAGACACAAAAAAATTACAAATGTCTTGGAAAAAAGGCCATTAAAGATCTTAGAATTCTAAACAAAAAGAAAAACTTTGCTGGCAACAGGTTGTTGTTATTATAATGTTATTACTGCTTTTCGGCAAATAAGGTCTTTAAACGCGTAACAAGGTTATTAATTACAGTATTTTATCAACAATAAAAAATTATGAGCGATAAAACTGTTTGAGGCAACAGGTAGTCTCGGTAGATAATGGACTTACTTATTGGTTCACAGTTAGACAGGGAGTAATACAAGGCTGTGTTTTGTCTCCGACATTGTATAATATATATTCAGAAGTCTTAATGAGAGAAGTAAAAGTAACAATGAAGGAATAAAAGTTAATGGTAAAGTAATATTCAATATACTCTATACAGATGATACTGCTCTTATCACGAATAGTGAAGAGGCGTTACAAGAACTCGTTAACATATTACTGGAAAAATGTGAAAAATATGGTTTAAGATTCTTTGCTGTAAAAACGAAAGTAATGGTTGTTTCAAAACTGGAAATAAATCCTAAAATAAAAAGTATGGTAAGCAACAGGCAACTTATATGGAAAAAAAAAATTTGGGAAGTAACATTAACTGTGCTGGTAGATGTACGTATGGAATTAGAACAAACAAAACCAGTATTTGATAATCTGAAGAAAAAAACTAATAAAATGTGACCTGAACTTAAATTTGAGAAAAAGGCTGCTGAAAGGTTACATATGTTCAGGACTGTTGTAATGGTCAGAAGCGTGGACACTTTCAATAGACACCAGAAAAAGGCTGGAGGCCTTTGAAATGTGGTGTTATAGGCGAATGTTAAAAATAATTTGCACTGGCAGGAAAACAAATACACAAGTACTAAAATTTTCAAAAATTTCAGAGATAAAAATTGACATGTACAGAAAATTAGGCACTTTGGTCATAAAATTAAGAATGAGGGATAATATCAGAAGTATTAATGGGTATAGTTGAGGGTAGGAGGGCCAGGGGAAGGCAGAGACTGGGGTGGATAATTAAATTAAAATATGGGTCCCCATAGAGATGCAAAACCTTGGAGGATTGGTAAAAACAGCCCGAAACGTTTAGAGTGGAGGACTGTGGTCGCCAACCCTCAGATATGATGACGGTACTCTGATTGATATTAAGTATACATACTATAGCCAGTTTGCCTGGAGTGCAAAAACAGTAGAGGGTGGTTTTTATTAATATGGAGTAAATGTTCGTGTTTATAATAAATTATATCGGCGAACTGAAGAATACCATTTCGGAATGAATGTATTAAAATCAAGGGGGAAGAACTGAGAAACATCCAGGGGAATTTTCAATACAAGAATTGATATTTGCATATTGGATTATTTTATGTAATTTGAACGCTTCATAAATTAAAGGTAAATGGTGAATTACTTGAGTCTTTTCGCCTTTTGGCTTATTTTTCTTTTGCTTCTCATTTTACACCTTTTGTTCACCCAATGTGTGTTTATCAACTGTCAGCTGTATCTGAAATTTCTTTAAAAGAAATAGATCAGGGAAGAATAAGATTTAATTTCATCAGGACTCGCCTGGCGGCGTTTGAGATAGCCTGACGGTGGCGCCACATGGTAGTGTCACGCGTTAGGTAGGGCCGGAAGTCCGTCTCACACTCTACCTGACTCTCCCCTTGACACTTGGACCTGTAGTGGGCTAGGTGGGCCTCGTGACCCGGGTATAGGTGGTATAGATCGTGGATTCGATCCACCGGTCCGGCCAGGTTAACTAAAGCGAAGTGGGCGTGGAGGCCGAGGGCGTAGGAGGTGTCGTGAATGGACTTCGTGAAGACGGCAGGGGGTGTCAGCCTGACGGTGCGGGTCACATGACGTAAGGAGTACAGGTATTCCGGCAGGTCGTTCGTTGGTTGTTCAGTCAGGTCGTCGAAGTAATATGAACAGCGGGCCAGATAGGAGGTAGGATGCAGGCCGAGGGACTCCGCCCTGGCCTTCGCGGCGTCCATCATGGCTGGGAGAGACGGATGGGTCGCCGGCAGCATGAATTCGTCCACATCCCAGACAGCCACGTACTTGTGCGTGGCAATGTGTCGCAGCAGACAGTCCGTGTAGGGTACGTTCTCGTTGGAAAAGAGGTTGAACCTGTAACGAGAACAAGGCGAATTAACGGGAACTGGATGAAGCACTAAGAAGAACAAGGTTAACCAATGACAAAAACAAAGTGAATCCCTGACGAGAAAAAAAGGTGAACCATTAACGAGAATGTAACGACCAACGAAATTGGGACATTGGCCCAACAACAACAAAACTCGTTCCTGTTAATTTTTTCTCAACTATGCTATAAATAAAATAATGACTGTCTCTTTTAATGTATGTTTGTTTGTTCGTTATGTAAGAGCTGAAATTTGGCAGAACGATGCACTTTCACCCTAGAAGTGTCCCAACGATAGAATTTTAGGAAATTGGGGTCCCATCCCTTCTTAAAAACACTAAATGTAGTGAAGATTATAGAGTAGTGAATGTAGTGTAGATGATAGTTTAGTTGATTTAGTGTTGAATAGGTGATAGTGTAGTGGATGTACTGTAGTGTAGATGATAGTGTGGTCACGGTCATATTATTTAATTAATTTATTACACTGCAAGGGGCGACAAGCCTAGTCACAAGACCATGCGGTCAGACACTAATACAGTGGTACTCGTGTTTCGCAGGACAAGCTATGACTTGTGATATGGAGACATTGACTACCCACCACCAAAGTGTGGGAAGTGTATAAGAGTTATATCTAGATTATTATGTATAAGTAGGTGGTGACATATAGTGGTTAGTGACTCTTCCTATGGTAGGAGGTCCCTGACATTGGGACATTCAAGGCAATAGTGTTGAAGGATGTTAGCGTTGGGACAGTTACAGAGTTTACAGGAAGAGAAGTACGGGTTATTCCCCGCCTCAGTTACTTGCCGCTCACTGCTCCTTATGTGACTCTCTCTCTCACCTCTGGGTATCATAGAGGGTGCGGTACAGGTGAGGTATTGAGGGCTGTGACCCAGGGCTGGTCCAAGGCATCACCTTCAGGTATCCCTCTTTCTGATAGTACCGCAGGACCTTGGTCACGTTGGGGTGGGCCGCTCCCTCGTACACCATCACCTCGTCCACGCCCCAAGCTCGAGCCACCTCCACCCACTCCACCAGCCTGTAAATGAACATGATGAACACCCTACTGAATATTTGATACTGATATGAACACCGAGGACAACCAATTAAAAGATGATACTCGAGTAACTAGACTGATGAACGCTTGTAAACAAGATGTTCACAAAATCGTACTGATTTTGTGAACATCGTGAGCACGTCAGTAAACTTGGTTATAATATTTCATTGGACTGCTGAACATATGTAATGCTTAAGTGAACGAATGCCGCCTAGAACACCCACCTCTTGGAGAAGTCCCTGGCAGGGTTAAAGATGAACTTGTGGCAGAGTGCGAGGCCCTTTTTGGTGTAGGGGGCAGAGAACCCCTGGTTTAGTACCCTTAGGGCGTTGGTAGCGGGTTCGCAGGCGTAGGCAACCAAAGACACCACCCTGGGAATGCCCCTGAGGTTACGCCCCGCCCGGCACGTCACCAAGAAGGGCATCCACTGGCCCTCTACTCGCTCCTGCCACTGCACGTAATCTGCCGAAGGAGTTGATGGTAGCCGCCACACATAGAATTTAGATGAAAGTGGATGTAGATGAAAGTGGATGATGTACCGATGTATGAAACAACCAGACACGGATGAAAGTGGACAGTTGATAATGGGGGTAATGAAACAGAGGGTGGATTAATGTGTGTGTGTAATAATAAATAATAATAATAATAATTAACGGTTTATTGAAAAAGTTCTGCAGCCCGAAGGCTTAAAATATACATTGGACAAATATGACTTATTACATACAAAGACATGGGGTAGGTCGGTCGGTCGTTTAACAAAAGCTTTCATTTCTGAAAGAAGAAGGAACAATGATTGAACATACAAATTATTATAGTTTACAGTTGATGTGTGTGTGTGTGTGTGTGTGTGTGTGTGTGTGACCATTCACACCACTTGTATAATTACTGGCGCGAGGTCAGTACACCCCAATGCGATGACCGGGAAGTGTCGACATTACCGGTACACCCCACTTACACCCTCCTACATCACCTACACATGCCCCTTATACCCCGAGAATTCTTCACCCCTTACACCCTTCTACACACCCCCTACACTCTCCTTCACACCCTCCTACACCCTCCAACACACACACACATACACTACTCCTACTACTACCTACTACTTTGCTGTCACTCGGAATCGAGTATGGCGATCATCCAGCAATAATACAATGATATGAGTTATGAAGGATCTCACCTATGTTGATGAGCTCTGAGGTGACTCAAGAGGCCTATATGGGACCGATAGGACTGTCCACCGATGTTGCATGTTGCACGTGTAGAGGGCTATATCTAGTGGGGGGGGGGGCGGCAGCGTCTTTCCAGCACTGGCGCTTGTCTGCCTCGGTGTGCAGTCGGGCTAACTCGAAAGTATTGACACCCTCTCGTGTGGTGCTCCTCCAAGCTTCATGGTGTGGAGTGATCGTCTCCCAGATGAGTAGGTCGATTTGGCACTTTTTCATGTTTGTCTTAGACTATTCTTATACCTTTTCCGTTGTCCACCAGCGTTACGTTTACCATTCGTTATATGACTGTAAAGTAGCTGCTTTGGCAGTCTACTGTCGTACCTGCGCGTAACATGGCCAGTCCAACGTAGTTGCTCATGGATAATGGTAACCCCGATGCTCCTACAGTTGGTGTCAGCGAGAATACTGGTATTTGTTCTCTTGTCTTCCCAATCGAACTGGAGGTGCTTCCTGAATGTGACCCTTGTCTCACTGCTATACTACAGCTTTGTAGATAATTTCAGCTTCCTACAGCTGAAGACACAGGGTTGAGATGCGCACATGATCCGTTGACCAGTCTCTTCATCGATGTCCGCGGTGGTGGACAGGTGGGAGCCAAGGCACTGGAAGTGGGCAACATTAGAGAAAGTAGTGCTGTTAAGCTGGATGGATGGTGGAGATGTGGTTGAACCAGGGGCAGGCTGAAAGAGAATTTGAATCTTATGTGCATTCACCTCAAGGCGGAAGTGTGTATATTTATCTGCGTAGGTGTTCATGATCTCCTGTAGGTCGCTTTCAGTGTGAGTGACGAGTGTGAGGTTGTCTGCATGCTGAAGTTCAGTGATGGACAAGTACATTATTTCCTCGTCATTTTCATTAAATCATTCCTGGTGTTTTCGGTGTATTCTTTCGATGTGGCCGAGGGTCTCTCTGCAGGTTTTTGTCATGCCAGTGTCGAGAATATCCCATTCGGAACTGGGATTTGCGTTGTTTGTTGTTGGGTTGTTTATCAGCCCATGTTTGCGCTGCTCCCTGAAAGCATGTGCTAGTGCTGGATCCTCCAAACGCTTCGTGTTAAAACCTCTTCTGGAGGCAAGTTGCCTTCACCGTTTTGGGGTGACATGAAGTGAGAACTTGGTTCTGACGAGCCGATGATCAGTGTCACAGTGGTCAGCGCCACGCTTGACTCGGATGATGAGGACATCTTGGCAATCTCTTTCTCTGACAATAGTGTAGTCAATGAGATGCCAGTGTTTGGATCGTGGGTGGTGCCACGAACCCTTGAACTTGTCGGCCTGCCTAAACAAGGTATTGGTGATAGTGAGGTTGTGTGCAGCACACTTGCTGAGGAGGATTACACTTGCCTAGTCCATTTCTCTTTATGATTCCTTTCCAAATGTTAGCATCTCTGCCAACTCAGGCATTGAAGTCACCTAGGAACACAGCCTTATCTTCGCTGGGGATAGAAGTTAACACTCTGTCAAGGTCGGCGTAAAAGGCCTCATTGATGTCATCCTCTGCATCCAGTGTTGGGGGGTATGCACTGATGAAAACGGCATGACATGAGTGACTCAGTGGGACTCTGAGCGTCATGAGGCGCTCGTTGATCCCAACAGGCATTTCAGTTAGCCTATGTAGGATGCATTGGCGGATGGCAAAGCCAACTCCATAAATGCGGTTTCTCTCCACAGCAGTCTTACCCTTCCAGAAGAAGGTATTGCCGGACCCCCGTTCTGTGAGTCGACCTTCGTCTGGGAGCCAGGACTCACTAATGGCTGTTATGTCGATGTTATACCTAGCCAGCTCTTTTGCCACAAGGGCAGTTCTTTCAGGAAGCTCATTTGTGCCAGTATCCAGAAGGGTCCTAACATTGCATGCAGTGACCATAAGAGGTGTTATAGCTTGTTTTTGTTTTGATCTGTTATTATGAGTGTGATTTGACCGTATAAGGATGACCGTACTGGGTGCAGTTGCCCAGTCAGGTTATTTTTTTAAGCAGGCTATGTTAGGGAACCTTTTCTAGCCCCCTCCCCATGCAGGGTGAGCAGAGTGGCTCCTCGAAAGGGCTGTTCAGTCCCACAGACAGGACCGGATTGCAGTGCTGCCTAGATCCTGATGCATAAACGACCATCTAATATACTATAGGCGTGTGTGTGTGTGTGTGTGTGTGTGTGTCTGCTCTGGGCAGCCGAAACGGCACAATCGTTTTTCATCAAACTTGGTGGAAAAATCGCAACAAATTCGTAGAGTGGAACAAACCTGGTCCCATATCGATGGTTCTTTAGTAAGCCATTACATAACCATTTTATTTACGCTGGAAAACGATGCAAGTCTACGGACTTGGCGCACCCTCATTCGCTGTACGCTGTCAGCCCACGATTGCAGTTATCGTACGGCTCCCTCCTCCCCCCCCCCTACTTTTTTTCTTAGCCTACTTTTTTTTTAATGTTGTTTGGATTAGTAAAGGAAGGAAGATGAATAAACAGAAGAATAAATAAAGAAGAGGAAACAAATAGTAGTTAGAGATAACAGGTGGGGGGAGCTGAGTTTCATCATGCATCTGGATGCACAGTTTCAACGTTACCAGACGACCTTACAGCTACAGTGTATACTTATTCCGGTGGCTCATGGAAAAGGAGAAGAGATAAAAAGATAATAACAGGAATGCATGGAGAAGATGACTACAATAGACACAGGGTGAATATAGACAGTGAAACAGACAGGAGGTTGACAAAAATAGACAGATTCATACATGCACAAATAGACAATATGGCAACTAACATGACAGACAGACAGCTGACTGACTGGTTCACATTAGACAAACAGGCAGACACACGCCAACAACGGATAAGACAGACAGATTTGACGATACAAAGAGTACAGACGGGCTTACATTCAAACACCACGCAGATGAACAGACAGTTGGGATGGCAATAGACAGGACGGATAGACTTGAGACAGATTAGAAGGCATTTATAAACAAGAATAACACCAAATTGACCATAGCTGCATCAGTTAGGGTAGGAGGTCTTACATCCACCAGCGTAAATAATAAGACTCAACACCCTCGCGCGGAAAGAACATCGATGGTCGGTCAGTCATGTGAGATGGGCCTAAAACTGACTAACGTATAGTAGATGATGACTATGATGACTTAACACAGGTGATGACTTAAGCAGATGGTGAGTAATCTAACCAGATTCAAGGTCACTTCTCTTCATAATATAATTTATCTCGGAATGATCATCGGTGATTCATAATAATTTTTTTTTATGACTTTAACCTCTCCTTATGGCGAATATTTCTTTAACTAATTATTCTCACCTTTATTCTATTCCTTCTTATAGTATATTAGATACTGTAAGTATCACGACCACGACCATGATTATAACAACCACGACTATGATTATAACAACCACAACCATGATTATAACAACCACAACCTTGATTATAACAACCAAAAATATGATTATAATACCCACGACCATGATTATATCAACCACGACTGATCATAACAACCACGACTATAATCATAATAACCACGACCATAAATATAACAACCACGACCATAATTATAAAAACTACGACTATGATTATATCACCCACGACCATGATTATAACAACAACGAATATGAATATTACAACCAGGACCATCATTATAACAACCAGGACAATGATTATAACATCTACTTCCATGTTTATAACAACCACGACTATGATTATAACAACCCGACCGCCAGTTATAACAACACGACCATGATTATAACAACCACGACTATGATCATAACAACCACGACCATGATTATAACAACCGACCATGATTATAACAACCACGACCATGATTATAACAACCACGATCATGATTATAACAACCACGACCATGATTATAACAAGCACGACCATGATTATACCAACCACGACTATGATCATAACCACGACCATGATTATAACAACCACGACCATGATTATAACAACCACGACCATGATCATAACCACGACCATGATTATAACATCCAGGACCATCATTATAACAACCACGACCAGGATTATAACAACCACGACCATGATTATAACAACCACGACCATGATTATAACAACCTCGGTAAACTGTACCACCGTCTCGCCACCGGGCACGAAGTGCCCACGATCACTTGTCTTGTCTTTGCCGCCCATGTGGAGAGTTGTGACTAGGGACTCTTTCATCCGTCGCCATAGGACTTTTGGGAGTTTAGGGGTTTTGATGGTGATGAGAAGATAT